TAGGTAGATAGTCAGAGAAAGAGAGAATAGTGAGAGAGATCAATCACCTTTCGATCCATGAGTGGCTTCGCGCTGCCATCCCTGATTCACAACAACCAACCTCTCCTATAGGTTTCCTATTTTTGAAACTTCCGCCACCGCCTTGTGCGGTACTACTGGTATTCGTGGTGTAGTGTAATTAGTGTAGCGTAGTGCAGCGTAATGTCGTGTAGTGTTGTGTAGTGTAGTGTGGTATAGTGTAGTGTAGTCTTGTGTAAGGTAGTGTAGTTGTAATTGTAGTGTAGTGCAGTGTAATTAGTGTAGTGTAGTGAAGTTGTAGTTGTAGTGTAGGGCAATGTAATTAGTGTAATGTAGTGTAGTGTAGTCTGCGTAGTGTAGTGTAGTGTAATGTAGTGTTAGTGTAGTGCAGTGTAATGTAGTGGTAGTTGTAGTTGTAGCCTACGGGTGGAAAACCGAACCAGCGTTTTGCATGTTTCTATGTCTTGCATGGGGTAAAGGGGGTGGGGTGGGGTGGGGTGGGCTGGTAACGTTCACTTGCACTTCCTCACATACATGATGCTACGCTACTGTACGTCTTCTTGCACTTCCTCACATACATGATGCTACGCTACTGTACGTCTTCTTGCACTTCCTCACATACATGATGCTACGCTACTGTACGTCTTCTTGCGCTTCCTCACATACATGATGCTACGCTACTGTACGTCTTCTTGCACTTCCTCACATACATGATGCTACGCTACTGTACGTCTTCTTGCACTTCCTCACATACATGATGCTACGCTACTGTACGTCTTCTTGCACTTCCTCACATACATGATGCTACGCTACTGTACGTCTTCTTGCACTTCCTCACTTCGAAAAAGAAGGCGCAGTGGTGCACTAAGTGTGCACACGGGCACCATCGATAACGCATGGCGTTTGTTGAAGCAAGCTGTTCCCAAGTCTTTAGCTTCAAAGAAAGGACACACTTATAACCCGGCTTTGATCAAGCATTGCAGGTCCTGGCAATGGAGATGGAAAAACACTGGAACCAGCTTGTTTCAAAAGACTGCCAAAGTCTTGAATGAGACTGTCCAGTCTAGATGACTGTCCTTGGCGATAGAAAAAAACGCGCGCAGGAATGTGCTAAAACCTGCATATTTCAAGAAAACTGCAAAAAAAAGACGCTGATTTTGGAAGCTCATGAATGCAGAAAACATTGCAAAACGCACGAAAAAAGCCAAAACACAGTGGCACGGCGAATATCATGAACTGAATTGTTTGCCAAAACCATGCGTTTCGCATCCAATGTCTAGAATATGAACGCCAAAAACAGACAAAACGTGGGTTCAGTTTCCCACCCGCCGGGTAGTTGTAGTTGCAGCTGCAGTTGAAGTTGTAGTGTAGTGCAATATAATCAGTGTAGCGTAGTGTTGTGTAATGTAGTGTGGTTGTAGTTGTATTTGTAGTTATAGCGTGCTGCAGTGTAATTAGTGTAGTGTAGTGTAGTTGTAATTGTAGTTGTAGCTGTGGCAGTAGTAGCAGTAGCAGTAGCAGCAGCAGGAGTAGGAGTGGGAGTAGGAGTAGGAGAAGGATGTGGAGGAGTGGTAGTGGTAGTGGTAGTGGTAGTGGTAGTGGTAGTGGTAGTCGTCGTAGTAGTAGTAGTAGTAGTTGTTGTTGTTGCTGCTGCTGCTGTTGTTAATGTAATTGGTGTGGTGTAGTGTAATTAGATGTAATTAGCTTAGTGTAATGTAATTAATGTAGTGTAATGTAGCGTGGTATATTTGTATTTGTAGTTGTAGCAGTAGTGTAGTGTACTGTAGTGGTAGTTGTAGTTGTTGTAGTTGTAATCGTCTATCTACCTATCTATCTATCTATCTATCTGTCTATCTATCTATCTATTGTCTATCTATCTATCCATCCATCCGTGCATCCATCCATCCATCTATCTATTTGTCTATCTGTCTATCTGTCTATCTGTAAGCTTGAAAATGGAGCAATTCTGCGAGAACGCCTCAATTTTTGATTTTGACAACATCAAAATCAAAAGAATTCTGCGAGACTTCCTCAATTTTCGGAGCTGACAACATCAGAAACGAAGCAATTCTGCGAGACTTCCTCAATTTTTGGAGTTGACGACATCAAAAACGAAGCAATTCTGAGAGACTTCTTTCAAAAATGGAAAGTTGAGTGCAGAGCTGACGGCCTCGTACCATTTCCACTCCACCTGTCTAAAGCACTGCGCCTGCCACGAAAAATTGATGCCAGGTCATACGAAGCGCTGGGTCTGTCACGCAAAATCATCTTAGCACACCTACAGATCTGATGCCAAAATGCAACCATTCTCAGGAAATCAGCGCCCTCACCTCCTAACATCTCTGATGAGCATGTCTCTTGTACTGCGCCTGCCACGGAAAATGCATCTTTGCAGATCCTCTTCAAATGCCCCACGCCTGCCATCGTTTTTAGAAATGCGACAAAACCCTCATGCCACGCAAAACGACATCTGAACCTTCAAAAGTTATCCGAACATGTGGTGCTTTTACCATTTTGACTTCGAAATGTGCTTCGCGCCGCCACGGCACGCACGTGCACTTTTTCGACATCGCAACTTCCAAAAGTGGTCCGAAAATAAAGGTTTTTTGTGCATTTTGACTTGGAAATGTGCTTCGCGCCGCAACGGCACGCACGTGCACTTTTTCGACATCGCAACTTCGAAAAGTGCTCCGAAGCTGAGGTGCTTTGTATATTTTCACTTGGAAATGTGCTTCGCGCCACAACGGCGTGCACAACTTCCAAAGGTGCTCCGAACATGAAGTGCTTTTATCTTTTTCACTTGCAAATGTGCTTCTTGCCACAAAGGCGTGCAATTTTTCATCTCTCAGCTGGCCAGCTGGCTCCGCACCCGCCGCTTTAGCGAGCTTACTTTTCGACCCTCCGGAGCCACAAATCATTGGAAAAAACACATTGTTTCGCGACTTTCCTACCTTTTCGCGCACCTGGATCTTCTTTCTTCGGAGACTTTCTCTTTTTGAACTTCTTTCTTCTTCTCTTCTCTTCTCTTCTCTCCTCTGACTCTTCCCATCTCTGCTTTTCATCTGTCTATATTGTCGGAAGTTTGACTTCTAAACTTCCTTCGGCCATGATTTCTAATGATTTTGATATTTTTCATGATATAGGTCTGTTTGCAAAGACGTTGAGCCGCAGGAAGCCGAACTGACAGTCCGCGCTGAATTTGAAGGACAGGCTCCCGGCATACTCTACGTAGCAGACTGCCACGAGGAATCTCCATACTCTTTGGATGAGATCAACAGATTCCAGGCTTCCGTGAGGATTTTGCATGTGCTGAGGGGGGAAACCTTCAACCTGGTCTACAAGAAAAAATATGACAGTTCCATTTTTGGTTTGTGTCCGGTTTTATTATTTTTTTGGATGAATTGTATCAAGGTGTAGCGATATAAAAGAACCTCAAGGTCACTCGGGCATGCGTTGGGTGGTCACCCTGTTTCTTTTGCAAAATGATTTTATGGTTTTCTTGATGTTTCCTGCTAGTCATTCAGGCTTCCATGAACTTCCTAAGGAGTTGTGACTCAAATCGGCAGTGAATGTATGGGCTGGTTTTCTCAGCACGACCATTCAGAGATCCCCCGCATTCGCCTCATCAGTGCGCCCCACTGGCTGCAGCGGGCAGTGAGTTTGTTGCCACAGAGCCTTGGTCCCAACACGGGGAGATTGCGAGATTTCCAGGCAGCAATACGAGCGTTAACATGTGTGAACATGTGTTCGCTGACCAGAAACTGACGTACCAACAGAGATTACTGTGGGGGAGATCCCGTTTCAGATGGGCATCAAATAAATGGAGCATGGAATATTATGAAGCAACACTATGGACGGGGGATTGTAAGTAAACCAGAAACTGCGGATTAAAACCCAACTGCAATAAGAATGGGAAAACCGTGATGATCAACTGAAACGAATAGATTTGACAGCAACTGTAGGTGACAATCGAGTTTAACAGCCGGCTCCAGAGAGTCTCATACAGATCTAAAGCTGACTGACTCAAGCGGTTCAAGTGTGGTCAATCTGACGTTTTCCTGTGGAGATTCCCCAAGGATTTCATGGCGATTCTATCGTCTGACCCTGCCCTGGGAAGTCCTTCGTCACTTCGACCGCAGTTTTCGCTTGGACTTGCCTCCCGCCTGGGCTGAGCGTCTTCATCAAGCAATGAGGCTCTCCCAGCCACTGGAAAATTTGAGCCCAGCAGCGGAGGTCTTCAAAAACCATGCTGCGGGATTGGTCAGATTGGGGATTTTTCCAACCAATGTGCCTTACCACTACAATCAGATCTGTGAAGAGTTGGAGAGCCAATGGTGCACTTTGCTGCAGCCTTAGAGTCTTTCGCTTCTTTCAACCTGCAAGGCAAATTGACACACCGAGACACTAAGCACGCCTTACAGAGTCCCAATGTTGTGGAGCCAACGAAGTTCCATCTTGTTGGGATCGGCTTTCTAAGGTTACGCCATGTGTATCTCTTCGGGAAGCCCACCTCAGCCCGACGTGAATCCGTGGCGCGTCAGGCGGAAGCCGAGGAGGCCTCGGAGCCCTCGGACGATTCGGACGATGAGACCCGGGCGCCCAGCCCCGATCCGAACGACGCCACCGACGCGAACGACGCGAACGACCCGAACGGTCCGGATGCGGCAGCCCCTTCGTCGCCCACGGCCGCATCGCCTCAGTCCCCTGCAGCCTCCTCTTCATTGCCAGCAGGACCGTCACCTGGCATGGCAAAGATGTCTTGCACATATAGTCTATGGATGTCTCCTGATTCTTTAGATATTGGTATTCCTTGACGGCTCAACATCAAAAGCATAGAAACAAAAAGGAGTCTGATTGTTTCTTGGCCAAAATAGTGCCTGAGATCTCTTGTGATGCTCGCATCAGGAGACATTAGGATTGAATCATTCTGTCTTCACTAAGACGCAGGCTTGACGTGTTTGAGTGTAGACTACATCTCCATCACAGTGACTAAGGTCCAATGGCCCTCCACCTACCAGCCGGATTCGCTGCGGACGCGCATGCCTAAACTTCTGCTCTACTGCTGGGGAGAGTGTGGAAGGGGCCTCTTGACTGACTTGGAAGCGCGCAAGATTGACCAGACGATCAGCAAAAGGCACCAAGATTCAAATATATTCCCAGGATTTTAGTGAACATTGAAGCGACGTGTCTGATTTATCATGTTCTCACAATACATTCAGCTTTGGAAGTTGGCCATTGTTGAAAGTAAACTTCGGATGGTTGTGCTCGCTGTTTTCTTGACACTGCTGCGCAGTGATGAAAGTTCCTGCACTAAATGGCTGAATGCATACTTAATACTTCCCACTGCAGCTCGGCCAAGGATCCATTGGACGGCTACTACACTGATCTGGCGATTGGCGATTGGTTTCTTACCTTCAAAAGATTTGAGGGATCCCAAATGACCACTTCTTGGAGGCAAAGTACATGACATTAAATGACCAACTGCTTGTTTTCCCCATCAAAAGCTGTTCTACTCTGATGTGTCGTTGCCGGGCTATTCTGGGCTAAGGGCCATTTGGAAACCGGAGCTTGACTTCAATCCGCAGCGTGACTCAAACGGCTGGTCCTTAGCCACACTTCGGGGAACCTTGGCAGCTCAGGGTGTTCAGTGATCCATTGTGTTCGGGGCCGATTGGAAGATGAAACTATGCAACAATGGGACTTAAAGCAGGTAGAATCAACAACAGGGCCACAAAAAACAGCACTTAACGTCCTCCATTTTCACACATTCTTCAGGTTCACCAAATTCTCTGTCAGGAGAACGAGATCAACACGATCGTCGAGGCTATGTGCCCAGCAGCTTCTTGCAGCCGATGGAGGACTACCGGCACTACAGCGGGATGCCTTTGTGTTTCGAAGCGGAGCTGGTCTCCCGTGGCTTCGAGGGTCGTCCCATGGCGCGGGGAGGCACCTCTGATGTCTACCAGGTGGCGTTAGATGGAGGTACAGTTGCGGCCAAACTGCTGCATGACCGGGAGAGCAAGGCGAAACCTGAGTCGAAACAGATTCTGGGAAACAGTCATCAACAAAGGTATTTTCTGAAAGTAGAATGTCAGAGAAGGGTTCTGAGCAGCTGAGAATCCGTGACGATCGTTTTCAGTGCCGAAGCTTTGACGAGCTTACCGCTTTTGCTTTTTCAATGTTTCCAAATCCTGGACATAGGTCCGAAACAGCAACAAATCAGGAATAAAACGAAAAAAACATACCATACTCCCACAAGGGCAAGCCATTTTTGCCAGGCTTTGCTGTGTGCCATGCATGATACGGCCGAGCTCTTTCGGGCAGAAGTAGAAGCGATGAAGAGGCGGGACATGCGCTTGTTTTGGTCTACAGAAATCAGTGACCCCAAGAATTGCCAAACATGGTGAAATACTGTCAGCTATTCAGGGACTTGATGATTTTGAGATAATTTGATGCGTCATCAGTCATCAATGTGTACCAAATTTTGACTCATCCCCATTTGCAAAAGAAGCTTGCGGACACCCTTTGCTTTATGTTTCAATTCTGCTCAGTCAAGGCTCATTCGGGCCGTTTTTTCTTGCTCACTGCAAACAGCTCATGTCATGTCAGGCTGGATCACGAGAACATTGCCAGCATGCTGGACTCTGGTGTTACCACTGACGGACGATTCCTGATCATAGAGGAATTCGTTTCAGTCCACACGTTGGCGGAGTGCTTGGACAGCAATGGTTTCTATTTCGAAGAACGGATGAAAGTAGCACTGCAATTGGCAGATGCTCTCACCTACATCCACGCTCAAGGCATCATGCATCGCGATGTCAAGAGTGCCAATGTTCTTGTGGATGTGGATGCTGCTGGCACGTTCACCACGGTGAAGTTGAGCGATTTTGGATTGGCCAAAGGTGTACAGGAACGAGAAGTGGGGGGTACCCGTTTTAGTTCTCGTGTTTGTGGCACCACTGGCTATATGGATCCTGAGTGCCTTCGAGGAGAAGGCCGCTCTGTTGCATGAACTTCTTTGGCCAGAGATTGGTCGGGCTTGTATAGTATATATTACTTGCATGAAACTGTAAGCAAGAGAAACGGACAAATCGGATTCACAGTAATCGCTTGTGAGTCTTTCTCAATGAAAGAACTCTTCGATCTATAGACGGTGTTATGGGCAGAAACCTGTGCCAGCCTTATTTCACCAATGCTGTACTTCCGGCCGCTCGAGCTTCCAATCCGATGTGTACAGCTTTGGGATCGTCCTACTCGACCTCATCACAGGCGAGAAAGTAATGATAATTGTTGGATAAGAATTTTGGGATTTTGTGATGATATGTGATGATCATCTTGGGATGTTTCTATTTTTTGATGACTGAGGGACTCATGGCACCAGTCATGGCTTCAGCTGTCCTTGTTTCTGATGTGCCGTCAGGAAAAGTGTGCGGCCCAGAGAACGATCACTACCGAGCAATCAGGAGGAACCAGACGATCTCTTTTCATTGCTCTTGGCCACAGGACTTTGGGCGAACCCCAAGGCAGTTTAGGGGTTCCTGAAATGGAGGGGGGGTCCGAACATTTTCCGTGCTATTGGCAGAATCTTGAATGGGGAAACCAATGGAAAATATTGGAAAAGGAGTAACCCCCTATTTCAGGAAACATTTATTTGTATATACTGTTGCTTGGTGCTTTCTCAGCTGGAAATAATTTTCTCACCAATGAATAAACTTGGAAAGGATCTGAAGTCCTCTGTCCACGGGTTACAGAAATTGCTGACCGCCAGGAGCCACAGTTCTGCAATGCCCTGAAAGATCTTGCATCGAACTGTGTGCAAGAATTTAGTGAAGATAGACCTCACATGGCGAATGTCCAGCGAACGCTTCAGCACCTGAATCGTCAAATTTAAATCGTTAGAGCCCGCGCAAAAGTCGCGGCAGCCATTTGTTGGTCCTTAGGGTTGTGAACCCATGGAACACGCATAGATAGCATATCAAACAACACCTTGGATGTCATTGAATCACAAGCTGGTGAGAGCGGGGGTGAGTGAAGTACAACACATTTGCATGCATTTGCCCAAATGGAGTTTGCAGCCACGGGGCCAGCATGGCTCATAGTTTTAGGACAACTTTTCCCACAACGCATCACACGTCTGTGGCGGAATTTGAACAAAACCGGATTTGCGGAGTCCAAGTTGGTTCGAAGATTTTTCCACCTGGAGCGACATCACATGGGTAAGGACGCTTTTGGCAATATTTGCAGAAACACAATGAACACATGGATGGAATTGACATGAATTGCTGGTTTTCTTGGCGGATTTTTGACACAATCTGAGAACTTGCGATATCGACTGTCGATGTACCTCGTTCGCTTTGTCGCACTCACCACGGAATACCATCATCAAATCTTTATGAAGGGAGAAGGCTCTCAGACACTGCCGTTCTGCATGTTTTTGAAGTCCCGGGGCTCAAGATGAGTCGTTTTCGGAGTAGATTTAGGCGATTTGAATTCGGTGCATCTTGATGGGCAATGGGCAAGTTTTGCGCAGAGTGCCTTTGTCGCATCACTTCCAAGTACACAAGTACAGCATCCCATTTTAGATTCACTTTCTGTAATTCATTGGATCCATTTTAAACATTGTTAAACTCATTTGTTTCCATCCATTAAAGATTCATTTTAGATCCCATTTTGGAATGCATGTTAAACAGTCTTAAACTCATTTGTTTCCACCAACTTGTACATCTGAATCGTCTGAATCCACAAAGGGGAACTTCTCTTTCCATGGCCATCATGGCTATGAGGCCCAAGAGATCTATTCGGACTTGTCCACCAATGCGGATCGAAATTATACCAAAGTCTGCAGCCTCGTTCCAGAGACGCCGGACAGGCCGAAAGTGTCTGAGTGTCAGTAAGTCCACAGACACCTTCGGGTGGGTCCTAAAATTGGGGACTTCAAGATCATCCAAAACTTATCAGAATTGGATTGAATTGGCTGGTTTTTATCATTCAAAATTGGCAATTTTCAATAGGGAAACCAATGGTTTGGGGAAAGTGATCCAAGATGATCCAAGTTATTGGCTCAAGCTTTTCCTTTGCAGCTGGGTAGGCAGCATGTCTCGATTGTTGTCTGAGTTCCTGAGCCGATGAGCCTATATCCGGCCAGCCATGGTGAGCAATGCTTCAGAGAGCTGGTTGGGATTCGAGAACGAGACGAATGAAACGCCCACAGAAAGTGTGCACAGGAGATTCGAAACGATTTCCCAATGCTTTTTCAGTTTGCTTGATGCATGCAGAAACTTCAAATCTTGGTGGAGTGAGACTACCGACAATGTGATTCTGAACAGTCCTTGGCTTCATCGTGAAACTGGCAACGCATTTCGGTGCGCCGCCTTGTTCTTTCCTTGTGCAGCCTGGTTCCACTTCTTTTTCTATACTATCGATGGCCATACCAATACTTGTTGGTCACACCAGTGCTACATGGACTATGTGGTCCTAATGGTCTTATTCTTTGGTTTTCTGTTTAGCCTTGCAGCCGCTCTGCAGCGACAGCGCGAAAGCTTTCGAGCAAGCTTGTTCTATTGCTTCATGATATCGTTAAACCGATATTCAAATGGAGAGTGGTGGCATTTTCGCTTGTGGGAGGAGTTTCGCGTGCTCTTCATAGCTGTGGTGTTGTGTCACTCCAATGTCCACCCTCTTTTGCTGCTCCTTGTGACTCTATTCTTGCAGATCGAAATGGCAGACGCTGGGCCCTTCAAGCCATTTCCGCAAATTCTCAATGGGACGTGCGGAAGCTTCCAACTTCTTCTGGTTTGTGCCTTTAGCCAAGATTTCACCAATCGCGTAAGAGCGGTTTCCTCTGGGGAAATCTTCAGCATTGTGGATGAGGACCCGTTTTGAAAGTCCTTTGAGGGGTCGGTCTGCCCGAAGGTTTTGCTGGCTTATGGGGATCAACTCCTGGGTCTCCTGGGGGGCTTTCATGATCGGAAGAGCAATGCAAGAGGGCGGGCACCTATACAACGCTGTGTTGCAAAACCGTTTGCCCATTTGCACTTGGCTTGCGCCGTGCGTGCTCATCGCAGTCATGCTTTGGGCAAGGCAGCAGTGCATTGTATGGAAGGCAGATCTGGCGTTGCTTTTCTGCTGCTTGACACCTGCACTCCTGGTGGCAGGAGACTTGATTCTGCAGATACAAGATGAAGCTTGTGGTAGTCCTGGCCAGCCGTGGCCCGCGTGCAATGGTTTTCAGTCCATCTTCGGTGCCTACATGACGATGCTTTGCTTCATGGCCTTACCGGTTTTAGTGCAAGCAGGGAGCCACCCTCTACTTTGTACAGTGCCTTGTATTCTGTTGAGTGTCCTATTCGTTGGACTTGAATTTCGTCAGTTTTTCTCAATTCATGATGTTTATGCATTGTCTATGATGTATGTGGAGACAGAAGTGAGAGTGGCGGCCCCATTGAGTTGGATGGTATGGCTCAGTCATGCCATCGACTACTTCAAACGAATGCGGGCCATGAGGCAGGGATTGGAACGTACGCGTGAGAACGCAGCTTCATCCCTGTCACTCCTCAACAGCATCTCTGTATCTCAAAGCACTTCTGGTGTAGAGCTCCAGGTCCAGCATAGTTCGAGTGGATTCCAACATGTGGCACAAGGACCTCAGCCTGACGTGCCAGAAGTGAGCGCTGTGGCAGTTGCAGTGGTGCGGCATGCAGAATGTGCAGATGATATGCACGCCTTTGATGACTCGGGCTGCTCTCAGGACGCGAGGGAGTTTCCGTTCGACCCGCCCATCACCAGCAACGGTGTGCAGCAAGCAAAGCAACTTGCCGATGACCTGAAGAAACAGTCTCTGGCTGTGGACTTGGTCGTCTCTTCTCCCTATCTCCGTTGTTTGCAAACAGAAGAGATCCTTGCTGAAGAATTTGATGCCGTGGTGCTGCTGGATCAAGAACTGGGAGAAGTTCTGGGGCCTGACGTGTTTGAAGCTCGACCGCCAACGCTGGTCAGGTCTTGGAAAAGCACCAAGAGCCTTTGCCAAACCCAGCGGGTCAAGGCAGGTCGGGCCATGGGCAAGAAGCCGCGGTGGCCAGAGACGCTGAAAGATGCCCGTGTGAGATACGCCAAGCGATTCCTGGACTACTTGAGACGCGCGCGGCGCGCCAAGAAGAGTTGTATCTTAGTCACTCATGGCCACATGCTGCAAGTCTGTGCAAGCATTCTGCCTGCGACGCAGCATCTGAAGGTTGGTTCAGTGAACTATGCTGCAGCGATCCTGGCCATTTGCCGCCAAAGTGATGGTTCTACGGCCGTATCACCAGGACTGCTGGACTCCTCTGGTTCTGCAGATTTTGGCGAGATACACCACCAGAGAATTCTTCGTTCTGCCTCCTTTGACAAAGCCGCAGAGGAGTCGGTTGAAACAGATCCTGGGAAGGCCGAAGAAACAAATCTGCAGGGCAACACATTACTACAGGATGTGAACATGAAGTATTGGTCAGTTTGGTACAAAGGCCTGCGCAGTACTTCTGGACGTGCAGCTTCAATGCCTCCAATCTTGCGAGAGCTGCAAACGCAGGAGGAGCAACTTGGCATGAGTTGGCAAGACTTGATGCAGCTTTTAGGAATGCTCTCAGCACCTTGGGAATTCCTGGACAACGGCTGGAACGAAGAAACTGGCAGCTTTCACACGAACACTCACACAGTGAGCTCGATGGCTTACTTCAGGGATCCAAAAGGCATGCGATCTTCACCTCCGTCTGAAGCCCCAAGTGACGCAGTACGTAGTGTACGTGCACCCTCCGAGCGGGCTCCGCCGCCAATGGCGCCCCTGCCGAAGTTCAATGTTGGCCTGTCGAGTTTAGCCCAGCGCCGCAAGCTTCAAAAATGAAGTGAGCTCATGCGGCGACGTTTGGAAAATCGCATGTGAGTGAACCGAACATGTTGCCAGAATGACAGTGGCGCGCCGATTTTGCAAAGCATGTGCTGGACCTGCGCTGCTTGTGTGCGTCCACGACAGTCACACCAAGTCAACTAAAACATGTTGTTTCAAGTGTTTCGCTAAAGCAACTTGGATCGGTGGAACACGTGCAGGTGTGCAACCATTTGTGAGACTTTCTAGGTTCTAGGTATAACGGTATAACCATAGTGTTGGAGTTAGGAGGGGTGCCAATGGCTTCCAACGGAGAACTCCAATGCTGGTGCTCTGCTTGGCCGCTCGCTATCGCAAATCAAACCTGCAGGTATCGAAGCCACAGGCGCTTTGACAAGTTCCGCGTGAATCGAGGAGCTACCAGACCGGTATGGGCTGTTGCCATGGCGGAGGCGCAAAGGGAGACTTGTGGAAAGTGGAATGCAGATCATGTGTTCAGTTTCAATAACTTAAATGGGCTTGTCCAAGAATGGGAGAATGGGGGGGATACAGTCCTGTACCACACACTGTTGTGCAATTTCAACAGAGAAAATTTTCTGATCAACAATGATCAACGATGATATTTCCGGCGCCTTCAGCATTTTCTGCTAGATCCATCTCAGGTGAACATGATGATGGCGGCTGCCACAGCAGATCATGAGGCCGCTGCTACAGCAGGTCATGTGAACAACACCGGGGATATGCCATGTATGCCATGTGAAAGTGTCTCTTCTGATCCTGAAAATGATAGTTTGATGATGTTTGATTGACAGTTATATGTTATACATCCACCATTGGAAGAGTTGATTTGAAACCCATTCCAAACATCTGTGAACCACCATGAGCAAAAAACATGTTTCTAAGTGTTGGTGAAGAATTAATCATCACCCTTTCATCAAAACTCTTGAACACACTGAAATATCAATCCCAAACATGAGTCAAACACCTCAAACACTCCTTAAAACATCCAACCATCCCTCAAAAACCCATCAACCATCCAAGAATTTCCAAAAACATCATCCAAAAAAAACCTACCTTGGTTTTTCCCCAATTCAGAACCAGCCTTTTTCCCGCTGAAATCGGCGGCAGATTCACCTTTGGGACCTAGAGACCATGGAGTTGAAGGTCTCGTTGAAGGGACACAGCGACCAAGTTTGGGAGGTGAAGTTTTCCACCAACGAGCCCGGGGCCCCGTTTGGGGAAAAAACGGTGCAAAAACGGCGAAGTCAAACGGGGAGTGAACTTGGAAAAAATGGGTGATGTGAGTGGATTGTTGGTTGACATGTCATTGATTAGTCATTGGTAAACTACATATATATATAATTATATATATAAAGCTTTTGTATAGTATTGTTGATTATTTATTATGCTGTTGCTGTTGAAACTGATGATGTTGATGAACATGTTTCTCCTGTGACTTGGATGAATTTGAACACTTCGCAGCTGTAGGACCACCTTAGCTTCAGCCAGCAGCGATAAAACGCTTCGCCTTTGGGCGTTGCCCTTAGTCGTTGCAGTTTTTTTAGACCTGTCGCGCGATATACCCTCTGGTTATGACTAACAGTTCGCCATGGAAAATCACCATTTTTAGATGGTTTACCTATTAAAAATGGTGATTTCCATGGCGAAGTGTTAGTCATAACCAGAGGGTAGCAAATTTCTGCTTCAGGATACCCAAGATGGGAGTCCATTGGGAGTCCTGCGGGGCCACACTGCTGCCATTAGGCCCTGCTGTTTGGCGCTGCCAGCTGGGTGGGATCCCATGGTGCCATGGATGGTGCTGTGATGATGGCCATCTGTCAGGTGTTTAAGCTTCTCCTATGAGGGATATCTCATCTCTGGAGACCAGGATGCCAACTTGGCCCTCCCAGCTTGTATTCAGAGCTTTTATGGCTGCTTTTATGGCTACAGCCAGATGTTTCAGAATGAACAGTGATAGTAAACATGTATGGATTGCAGAATTTATATATCCAAATATTTCATTTGGTGAAACTATATGCTACTACTTGTTATTGAGCTGTTGTCCTGATCTCTGAAAGAATGATGCCAGTTTCTATGGGAAGCCGAGAATGCGCAGCCCATCAAACAATGGCAAGCTCATGAAGGTTGCGTTTGGAAGCCCAGTATCCAGATATATCCAGGTGTCACTACTGGGCACTTGGTGAGTTGCCAGCTGCTGGATTTATCATCCACTGGGGAAACTAGTTGAATCTTCAGAAATCATTTTGAGAAGAAGATTTGGATCATTTTTCTATTCATGGATTCAACTCAGAAATGTGCTATTGGTCATATTCCTCCCAAAACTTGGACAATTTGATCATATCGAAATCATTTGGTGCCTGGTTTCCAATCTGCTATTTGTTGCATTTGTTTTAAAGACCTCCAAAGTCTGGAAGAAATCCTGCCATGTTTTTCACAAAGTCCAAGGTGCACAGCGTCACATTCTCTCCGGCGGATCCGCTTATGGTAACTTTGTCTGTGAAGGATATGGGACCCATAAGCTGGACCCTTGGTGTTGTTTGTTCAGGCACAAGTCATGGTGTTTGTAGCATTTTGTAGCCACATACCAAATGGTGTTAGTAAGATTATTGTTGAGTCATTTTAGTGGCGTGATTGGGTAACACCATTTTTGCCGATGAAATCATGTTTAAGATTTAAGATGGAGATATGATGTTTGACACAGGTCGAATATGTTTTTTGTTGGTTTACATGTTTTGACATATTTTTCTCTAAAAACATGTCATATCTACAGATTTTTTATCGTCTCATCTATTGGTCTATGATATGCTGAGGCGATTTCCGTCGGAGCAGAAGGATCCGTGGCATCGTGGTATGTGAAGCGGGAAGAAGACGACGTGGTACTGGGCGGTCGTTTTCCAGGACTCAGTTGTGATGTCAAAAACCCTCTGATGTGAAGCAAAAACTCAGAAATTGTTAGGCATAAGGAGCTGTATCTGAAAATTGGACCCCTTCAAAATTGCCAAATTCCCAAGGGTTATCAGATGTGATCAGTATATTAACCCATGAAAACAATGAAAACCACATGAATTTGGGGTGTTTTGCCATAAATGGGGGCCCATCCTCCATGTTGAGACCGGCGATTGTGCACCAGGTGGTGATGGGGGTGCAGTCTTAAGCCTCACAGCTCATCCTGCCTATCCCGGTGTGGTCGCTGTTGGATGTGAGGACCGGGACGTCATGTGGACTTTGTGCGATAAACTTGCGGGGAAAATGATCATGGATAAACTATGGGATTATCCATTAGTTTATTTGATAAGAATCCCATAGTTTTTGGATTTTTGTGGTAACCCGATTTTTGGATAAACTGAGGTGGCATCACTCAACGCATTGCGACATTGCAAGGATGGAGACGTCTGGATTTGGGGCTTCAAACCAGACTTCCAAGAAGGCCCGTGATACTGTATCCCGTGATGCTCACTCACATTACTCACATTTAGGTTTGTCAAACAATTGGGTACAGCCCACCAAGGAAACTGATTGGGAAAAAATGATAATCCATTGAATTGCGGGTATCCCATTTCAATAGACAAATCCATGTATGAAACAAATTGGCTGACGCATCGCACTGGCCAGGCAATGCTGATGTGGCAGGTTCGGATGTCCAGCTGATTTGATGTTGAAACAGATTGAAACATCAAATTTGGTACAATCTTTGCAACGCGTGACAACCTTCTCGACAACATGGGGTACATATTAATATCATATTAATGACTTACAGAAGGTTGAAGCCCTGAGTTGTGTTGCAGCTCCTGATACACAGGTCACACCAAGCTCAAGGGACACACCAAAGCTGTCAGGGACTGAGTCTTTGTCACATTTTGTCACCAGAGTTTGCTTGAATCAATTGATCAATTTGATCAATTCATACTCGTCTTGGTCTCAAGGTGTGGTTTCTGGAGTTCTCTCGTGATGCTTGTTTGCTGGCCTCGGCATCTGCTGATTGCACAGTCCGGGTGCGGCTCATAGCCTGAAGATCTCAGCCCAGTCACGCAGCAGTCATCTCGTGTCACGCGTTGTGTTTTGGGCTGTTGACGAGGTCTGGAACGCCACCAATGTTCAGTTGCCTTCCCTTCTGTCTGTGTTTAGAGCACACGACTCGTGAGAACCTCAGAGTCGTACTGCCAAGCTTCATTTCATCCAACTTTTTCAGCATAGAAACTCTATTTGCTTATGTACTATATGAGCCTTTTTGTCAATCAGATCGCTTTTTCTCTAACTTTCTGTGTTCAGTGATCCAGGTGGGTGAGACAAGTGCGATGGTTCACCCAACCGGGAAAAGGTCTCGGCCGCAAACGGCTGTTGGTCACCTGCTCCACGGATGGCTCGGTCTCCATCTGGGCACCTCCCGGCCGATTGCGCAAGATCAACAAGTTGCAGGCGGTAAAACCGGCCCAAAAAGGGAGATTGACACTAAAGCTTCACATATTGGTATAATATAATGTATATATAATGTAATATATCTGGTTGGTGTTTTTTTTTCCCATATATTGGGAATAATCATCCCAACTGATTAATATTTTTCAGAGGGGTTGAAGCCACCAACCAGATATGATTCTATGAGTGATAATATTGTGATTGAGATGATTGTCATAACATAATGAAATATGAAATATCTATATGACATATGAAAATACGATTCACATATTTTGACCAACATTGTGTATGAACTATGTCTTGATTTAAGATGCTCTATGATTGTGTACGACTCACAACGGGATACCTGGGACGCGCAAAGTTGGTGATTCTTCGAATCCAGGCATTCATTTTTTGGGGCAAAATAGATGCTGTCAATGATGCCACACGTCACAGCAGAGCCACATGTTGTGTGAGTGAATTGTTTTCCTTGTCCGGGTGATGATCCTGAGATGTTTGGATTGTCATCCAGGCAGCGCCCAACTTCGGCTGCAAAGATGTTGGTTGCGAGGTTGGATGCCTGCAACCTGATTTTGATTTTTGGGATACTGACTCAGTGACATTTGCCAGGCAGAAGTGGTTCAACTCCCCTTGGTTGCACATGAAGAAACTCCGCAACCAGGCTACCATGCTGAGGAAGGTCACAGAAAGAAAGAGAACGATACTGCCAGCTCTGCTGCGAAGAGAGACGTAGAAATGGAACGTTGTGACTAAGTTGTGACAAAGAATGTTTTGAAAAAAACTGCAGAATCTTTGGACCTTGCTAGGCTCTAAGCTTCCTCCTGCTCCTCTTGCACTTCCATCGTCAGCCCTCAGATCTGTCGAAGCGGCTCTTGAGTTGACTTGTTCCTGCATCAACGTTTGAACACTGCACATACAATGCACATCTTGTGCTGTCTCCAAAGATCTACACACGGTTGGAAATCCAATCACATCATGTGATCCCACAGCTGACTGTCTCAGGTCAGAGACACAGCTGCAGCCCATGCCGGAGGAAACCGCCACGCCACGGGACCCAAGGGACCCACGGGACCCACGGGACCCACGGGACCCACGGGACGCTGTTCCGCCCCAAGCAGCGCCTCCTGCGGCGGCGCCAATGCCTTCGCAGACGGCCATGCCGCGGGAACCGGCGCCCACGCCGCCCACGCCGCCCACGCCGCCGACACCGGAGATGACGGGGACCGCGGGGACTGCGGGGACCGGGAAAACGAAGGGCACTGCAGTTCCAGTGGCACCGCCATCCGTTGGGATCTCAGTGGTGAAGCATTTTTGAGAAGATTTTGACACAGAGTTTACGTGTGTTACATACTGCAACTGTTGCATGAGTTCACACAACTACCATGAAGTCCCAAATTCTTGAGATATTCTGTTTCATGGGATGCTGGTCGGATGCTGAGGCTGTAAAAGCACCAGAAGGCGCTGGCAAGTTGCACCCCTCACTCTCACAACGACCAAGAAACAGTTGGATGTCGGAGTCCAAAAATGGGCTTTCAAGGGTCTTTCTGCTTTTGCCAAATTTTCTTTCTGAGAAGAGCGAAAAGAGCGAAAAGGAAATGAAGGTGAAGGCACAAGAAAATCTATCTATCAACGATGCAAATCATTCACCGAAACCTCAGATAGTAGATCAAATGAATCTGTCATTGATTCCTTTGCTGGAAGGTGCTACTTTGGGACCCGTGAGGGAAGGAGTTGGTTCTCAACCAAAGCCAGGGCCGTCGCCGCCATCTGTCAGAGTCTCAATGTCAGCATGAAGTATCATCAATTCATGGAAGAAAGATGAAAAACTCATGAAACACGGCAGTTCTCATGAAACCTCATGCATTCAAATGGATCCTTTTCCTTTGACATTTTTGAGAGGAGTATTTTGTTTGTTTCGGTTTCATCTAAATTTGAGGCTGGATCAGCCAGCAGAGGCGGGAGAGTGGCAATGAAATTGATTGCGTAGTTTCCAAAAGATCGGAATGTGAGATTCGGGTAAACAACTCCGATTGGAATGGTTCTATATAGATCTATATAAAACTCACGTTTTTTCTGAAAGATAAACATGCTCCTCGGCCCCGGCTCATCTAGAAGCCATTGAATCATTTAAAACATTTTAAATCCATGTGACTCAAATCTTAGTTCCTTTTTGCGCAAGCTTCTGAAAGTTCACCTGTGGCTGTGCAATGTGGTTTCATGTCTCTGATGCTGCAGTCTGAAACCACTGGACAGAATTACACCATGGTCAACCAAACATTTTCATGTAAATTCTTCAACCAGACTCTTATATTGGAAGTGTGTTTTCGTTATTTTTCATTCTTCACAGTCAGATTCTATTTGCTGGAAGGTGCTGCTTTGGGACCCGTGAGGGAAGGAGTTGGTTCTCAACCAAAGCCAGGGCCGTCGCCGCCATCTGTCTGAGTCTCAATGTCAGCATGAAGTATCATCAATTCATGGAAGAAAGATGAAAAACTCATGAAACACGGCAGTTCTCATGAAACCTCATGCATTCAAATGGATCCTTTTCCTTTGACATTTTTGAGAGGAGTATTTTGTTTGTTTCGGTTTCATCTAAATTTGAGGCTGGATCAGCCAGCAGAGGCGGGAGAGTGGCAATGAAATTGATTGCGTAGTTTCCAAAAGATCGGAATGTGAGATTCGGGTAAACAACTCCGATTGGAATGGTTCTATATAGATCTATATAAAACTCACGATTTTTCTGAAAGATAAACACGCTCCTCGGCCCCGGCTCATCTAGAAGCCATTGAATCATTTAAAACATTTTAAATCCATGTGACTCAAATCTTAGTTCCTTTTTGCGCAAGCTTCTGAAAGTTCACCTGTGGCTGTGCAATGTGGTTTCATGTCTCTGATGCTGCAGTCTGAAACCACTGGACAGAATTACACCATGGTCAACCAAACATTTTCATGTAAATTCTTCAACCAGACTCTTATATTGGAAGTGTGTTTTCGTTATTTTTCATTCTTCACAGTCAGATTCTATTTGCTGGAAGGTGCTGCTTTGGGACCCGTGAGGGAAGGAGTTGGTTCTCAACCAAAGCCGGGACCGTCGCCACCATCTGTCAGAGTCTCAACAATAGCATGAAGTATCATGAAGTATCATACAGTATCATGAAGTATCAGGAAGTATCATCAACTGATTGAAGAAAGATAAACACATCCTCAAACACTGCTACGTGTACGACATGTCCGACATACCAACATGGATATTGTTTTCAAGATTCATGGGCGGAACTCTTCATTACATTTTTTTCTTCGAGGCTGGATCAGCCCCCAGAGGTGTGGGTTGGTGCATGCTGGTACTGCTTGGGGCAGGAAAAACGTACCAGAGTCCAGAGCCACATATTTCTAATGAGGTAATCCGCAGTAGATGTGTGATTTCTGACAAGATCTGACAAGTTGATGCCAGAGTACCTCTTCTCACAATTAAGCGTTTCGCAACGCAAAGTCTCCTTTCGCAGGTTGGGGGGCTTCAAGTCCACTCGTCCTGGTTCAAGTTGTGTATGCTTCAGTCCAAGCCGACAGAAAAGAATTCAACCACTCACTTAAAAGACAAAAAAGTTGATCAACAAGAAACATATTTCTTCACTTTTTTTCTGTTTTTTATCCAATTCTTACCCCAGATTCTGACAGTGCTGGATACAGTAGTTCTTTCTTGGGACTGGTGAAGGCGTTGCTTCTCAACCGAAAGCGGGGCCAGCACCACCATCTGTCAGAGCCTCAATGGCAGCATGAAATGATGTTAAATGATGTTAAAGATGAAGACACTCTGAAGTGTTCAGTGATATTCATCAAACCACAGCGTGCAAACATGTTTTAGAACACCTACGCACAAATGTGCAGACATCGATGTTTCAGGCTGGATCAGCTCCAAGAGGCTGGGAGGACTCATATTTTCAGCATCCTGCGGCACAACACATTTCGTGTGCGAGGCGTTGCCATCGGACCAGTCAGTGAAGGTGTTGGTTTCAGGTCGGCTTCGAAGGGTTCCAAATCGCTCAACTCCACGATGACGTGAGAGTCACAGTCAGCTGGCATTGTTGGAATATGTTTGATAAACTGTTTAATACTGTTTGAATGTTGATGTGTTTGGAGAGGTTTGTTTTTTTGGTGCATGTCGATGGTTCACACTGTTTTTAGCTGTGTTTCTCTATGCTGGACCTCGCGACATGTGGCTGGAGATCACAAAGTGATCCCTGGAGATGTGAAGAGCCGTCAAGTTTCACCAAGCCCACCGGCCACAAAGAAGGCTTTTCTTTGCAAAAGATTGCCAAGCCGCTCAGGGATGTTTTTCCCAAAGCAATGTCTAATCTAATCACTTGGTGTCAACAATCGGAGGCGATTACAGAGAGTCCAGATTCTCTCATTGCTCGTTTTCTGCATTGATTGCATTGCAAGCCTTCAACCTGTTTTGTGCTGTTGAAATGGTTGAAATGTGATTCTGAGATCACCTGGATGGTCTTTTGGTTTGGTTTGTCGAGATGTCTTGAATTTCTGCAGTTGCACCAACAGCCAGATTCAGCCAGCGCCACAGCAAACAAAGGAAGACTTGGCACCTTTTACACCTTAGGTAGGTTGACAACAGCCACTATTTCTGATTAAAAGCTTCTATGCTAGGCATGAATCTGCCAAGATGCTATGAAAGATATGAAAGGAGTTATGTTATGGGGCCGGCCATTGGAGCATTCTGCACATTGCTATACTTGGCTGGCCATGGCGGAGTGGATGAACCTTCGGTAGATTTGAAAAGCGGCAAGTGCTGGAGCCTCTTCCCAGGCGGAAGAAGTGCTTGAGTCCGGATCCTCCTGAGATGTTTCATTCTGGCACAATCACAGTTGTGTTTACCGTAGTAATACCATCTGGGTAAATTATAACGACCTCACTGCGACCTCACTGGAATCATGGTCAGTAAGGGGAATCATCCCCAAATGGCCTTAATTCAGGTTAGTGAAATATTATAATTTACCCAGATACCATTGTTTACCTTCCAAAGTACCGAAACTGCTGGAGTTATGCTGGAGCTATCCCCTTTGGAAAGTGGCTTTGGATAAGCACGTGAAGCAACCTCGACTGAATCTTCAGATCCACCACAAAGCTGTCAGCTGGTCGTCTTTTCACCCGATGGAATGGGGCTTGGCAACACCAGCAATGATCCTCAAGCGACTTCTGCGAGTTTTTTAAATTTCACGAGTCCTCAAGGAATCCATGTCCAGCCAAAGCCCTGCTTTGGAGAGCAGTATCCAGGATCCATGTAAGACGTTTTTCCTACATTTCGAATTTTTGATTGCACAACAAGTTTGACTTTTGGCTTCTAGATGCCTGCTGATTAGATGACTAAGCCCTCAAGGGGCCCTCAAGGTCCTTTTGTCAATTACAAGGACCTGGCCTTTTCAGGTGTGACCACAGAATTTGGACTGCCTCGGATCACATAGAGGGTTTTTTTCCATGAGCTTCCCAAGTTCAGAAATTTCAATAGATGTTTCCATTACAGCCAGGTTTCCGTTACAAGTGAAATATCCCAAAATTCTTCATGACATTCGGCACAGCAGGACCCCCGATGTACAACTTTCTACCTGCAACGTGTCACTGACAGGTCTACTTTCAGATGACCGAGGACTTGGGACCTCGAAGGACGCTTCGCGGACGCTTCGCGTGCTGGTTTTCTGCGGCCCCAATGGGCCAACTTTGTCGACGGCAAACAAATCTGTCACTGAGATTCTCTCACTGCTTTTTTGAATATTAACATTTCAATCATGTTCCGTTATGTTCCGTTATTGGACGGTGCTACTTTGGGACCATTCGGCGAAGGAGTTGAAGGAGTTCTCAACCAAAGCCTGGGCCGTCACAACCATCTGTCACAGTCTCAATGGTAGCATGAAGCATCATGAATTGATGGAGGAAAGATAAAGAACTCCTGAAGCACTGCTGAGTGCATGAAAGCGGCTGGTAGCGTCCGAATAGATCCTTCTTCCAACATCTTTCAGAGGAGTACTTCGTACTTCGTGGAACTTCACTGGACCGGGTCATTGTCTCAATTTCTTTTAAATATTTTAATTAAATCAAATGGAGAAAAGAAGAGAACATGTGCCCTTCTGTGTGGCACACAGATCATTAAACATATTAAAATCCGTCAAAAGTTTTTGTGCTGAACTGACCTTTAACATCCTTTAACCACAACTGTTTTTGGATGGTGCTGATAGCCACGTACCGCTTGAATGACCTTGAAGGGTTGGCCATGGCACCGCAGTCCGGGCTCTCGGCCTGTCAATCTGTCAACGGTGACTGAGCCAACCGTGGATTCGGATGGACGCCAGAGCAATGTTTCTCAATGGAATGTGAAACACATGTGAAACAACTGCAAGATCCAAGTTTTTAAACAACGACTGTCGATGTTACACCAAACATGCTTTCTGTTTGTTGCACATTCCAACCTTTCTGTTGATAGACATGCGATTTCCTGATTCGACGGATGTTCACACGTGTTGATGCTTGACGCGGTCCGCCATGCCGTTGCCATCGCACAACATTGATGAACTCCACAGCTTGAAGGCGAGGAAAGTGTTGCTGCGTTGATATGGCGCTTCTTTTGGGTCGTTCGATTTGTCAGGTGGATGGTTTCTATCCTGACACCAGAAAGGATGAGGTTTGGGATTTCTTTCAAAAGTTTGGGGCTCGGAGTTTCAAGACACAGGTTTTCATTTGACGGCATAGCGCAGCATGCAGCTTTAACTGGACTGCAGATGTGTCTACAGCTTGCCAGGTGTTCCATTGCATTGAATTTACCAACCCCTAAGCTCTTGAATGTAAATTCTCCATAAGGGTCATGGCTTGAGTTTTTTCCAAGGTGTGGTCGTATTGGTGATGTCTACTTGCCGCGAGACCACGATACCCAGAAGAACAGAGGTTTCGCCTTTGTTCGTTTCTTCGAAGCTTGGAGAAGTTGCTGGAGTTGCTATGGCAATTTTGACCACCCATTTGGCTACAGGCTTACCATGGGTTACCCATTTTCTTTGTCACTTCGAACCCAGGACAAGAAGGATGCAGAGATGTGTGTTCAGGTGTCTTGGCGTGTGATATCCAATAGCATTGAATGACACTGTGGCTGGATCTATGCCAATCTACTTTTATGTCCTGAGGACATGGATGGTCAGATGTTTCAAGGATCCAAATTGCGCGTGAATTTTGCGCAGGCCGGGGTCTCTCCAACACTTCAGTTGGCGCTAGAGCTGAAATCGGTTCACCAACCATTTTCAGGATGTCAGTACTAAGACTCAGTGCTGGTTTTGTGATCCAAATGCTGAGCACTTGCCCAGATCCACGACCGTGGCCACATGAGTCAAATCCTCTCAATTCACGATCCATGTTAAAGGGAAGCGACAGACTTGTTTCGTTGTAAATGTCACCATGTGTCACCCTAATAGGCGGTTTAATTCGAATATCTTGATTCAACTCTAGCCATAATGTATGATAATTTATGTGTTTTTCTCTGAAGACATGGTTTTTGAAGATGACCCCCCCAATTTTCAAGGTAAAAACAAATCATCAGTTAATATATGACTCTATGACCATATCAATTACATCAATATTATAATATATATATATCTATATGTTCATAACATTTCATAACGAAGACCCAGTTTTCATGGGTTTTTTTGGTCCAAAAAAAAAGTCCATTCTCCCAGTGTTTGGTCCAGAGGTGGGTCGAGGTCCAGAACCTCGCAGGGAACCTGGCCGAAGAGTTGGCGACTTAGGGAAGATTGGTAAAAGTTAGGTAGAATATGGTAGAATATAGGTATACTATGGATATATATTATGGGTATATTATGGATATATTATGGATGTATTATGGATATATTATGGATGTATTATGGATATTAATATGGATATATATGGATATATGGATGGATATATATATACACAATATGGATACATAATTGATTGTATCAAAAATTAGAATATACTTCTATGATTGACTCAGAAGATTCTATTGAAAAATCTATGTCATAGAATTTTGATTATACATTAATTAATTGGAATCAGAGCATTATTCGTTTGAAATCCTTTTGAGAGGCCAGCAATTTTCATCCCCCCAGATGAAATCGGATCCATTGGGTCCAAGGGCCGAAACAGTTCCTCGCAAAGCTACAGGACTGGGATTGCCAGCACCAGACACTCAGTGGCTGCGACAGATTTTGGCTGTGATCAAATCTTTTCCCAATTTTGAAGGTCAAAATTTGCTTTTAGGTGGATTTGTGTCTCAGAAAAAAAAGTGTCGATCGCAGGAGAGGCAGGAGAGAACGAAGCAGAAGTAACTTGGCCAAACATTCCGGACAGTCTCATCTACCAGGATTTCTATGGATTTCGGTCGGATTTGATTCGCATTTCACAGGCCGAAGTGATCGAAGAAGGGGCAGGCTCTGGGCATGTTGTCAGCTGAAAGATCTTGAAACAGTCGCGACGCTGTCAGGAGTCGGTCCAGGCGCAAAGGACTGGGCAGAGTTGTGACATTTTTTGCCAAACTTTCTCCAAGTTCCAAAAATGGCAGCAGATTTTGAGATTTTGACATGTGTCCAAATTTTACACACTTAGATCACTTGGATCATGGTTCGGCTGTGAATTTGGCCACGTTTTACCGTGGAGGAAACAAGCTCCGCTCCAAGAGAGACCGAAGTCCCTTGGCTTCGCACCAAGTCGTGCCTCACATCACGCGAATCGTCACCAGTTGGACCGGCAGGTCGTACCTCCAGGAGCGATTCCAGGACGGAAACATCTTTGGAAACGGCCATTCTATGGCCGTTTTGTGGCCATCTTATGTTCGTTTCATGTCATGTTTGTACGATATTTTCTTGATGGCTCATTGATGAATATTGATGAATATTGACCCATGATGGAAATGATGATCGATCTGAATCTATTTTTTGATGTTTCTTGCTGTGCTGACTCCACAGGAGATGAGCTGCATGGGGCCTTGCCAGCTCTGCCGAGGTTGCAGGGTGCAGCTTCCGCGGCAACGGAACAAAAAAAGGATGGAGAAAAACGTGGGAGCTGCTCATTACCTGCTGGATTTATGTTGAAAGTTGGACTTTGTCAGATCCAAACAGAATTTGAATTTTGGATTGCACAACGGGCTGACACGATCCATTTTTCAGCTGTGCCGGATTTATGTTTCTTCTCAAAGGTGCTGTTGACCACTTGTGCCGTGGTTAAAGTTGCTTGGAGCCATAGCTGGCGGTGGGGATTTGGCTGGATCAAGGTATGATACGAAGGTATGGATGGGTCCCTATTCTCCTTGTTCGATTCACATAGAGCTTCACAGATGTGTAGACAGAATATGACAGAATCAACAGATGTGAATCCTCTTCTTCGTAGTGTATAGATGCAGAATTCTGAGCCTGCACTTGTCACTGCTGTATGGTATCATGATGTATCATGGGGATTCAGCTGTGAATGACTGGAGAATCTGGGCATCGAACTAAAACCGGGGGAAGCTGTGCACACTCCTTCCAAACACCCACATGGAGGTTTCCTAGAATAGGGGTACTCCCAAATCATCCATTTTAAATGGGATTTTCCATGAAATAAACCATCCATTTGGGGATACCCCCATTTATGGAACCCCCCACATACTTCAGAATTCCGAGTGTGTACTTTGCATTGACCTGCAACGTGTCAGCACCTGCACAAAAAGTGCAACAGTACTCATCACATCTGTCTTTGATGTGTGATGAACGGTTTAGCAAACTCAGTCATTGATTGTATTTAAACCCAATGATTTTCGCAAGCAATTACTCACAATTACATTTCAAAGCAATCATGTTATTTTATTTGATCATTCTCGCTTGCAATGATTTCTGGCATCACTTTTTAGCCCATGGACCTGGATGGCGATGGTCCAACAGTGACTTTGGACCAAGGGAAAGTTCGAGGAACTCTGCGTGAGACCGTGGCCCGTTTCTTGGCAGTTCCATATGCCGCCGCGGCCTCTGGAGACCAACGGTGGAGACCCCCACAGCCCCTGAAAGACGCCGAAGCTCCTCGACGAAACGTGGCTCTTCATCGCTGTCCTCAACCAAGTCGACCTACTCAGACCTTCAATGGCTATGTTTTGGAAGATGATGAGGATTGTTTGCAGTTGAATATTTGGACACCAGTGAAAGCACTGGAAGGTCAGGATGCTTCAGTGCCAGTATTGTTTTACATACATGGTGGAGGTGGCAAGTGCCATTCTGCTCACTCTCCGAGAGAAAGTGGACATCAACTGGCTTTGCAACAAGGTGCCTTTGAAAGGTTTCAATCTTTGGGGAACAGTTTTTTTTTTGGGGGATGGCAGTTGATCTTGGACCATTCCTTAACATCAAAAATCATCCAACATCTCAGGCCTGTGCTGCGTGAACATCAACTATCGCTTGGGCATTTTGGGTTTTTTGGCTCACCCCGAGCTTGCATCCGGATCTGGCAACTATGCCATCTTGGATCAGATTTTTGCACTGCAATGGATCCAGAGAAATATTGCATCCTTCGGTGGGGATCCGAAAAATGTGACCATTTGGGGCCTTTCCTCCGGGGCACAATATGTCTCCACACTGTTGGTATCCCCTGCTGCTCAAGGATTATTCCACAGGGCTATGGTGCAGAGCTGTTCGGACCTAAACAATGTTCGACAAGTGGCTGGCAGTTGCGACGTGTGGCTTGGGAAAACTGCAGAAGACTGGGGATGTGAACTTTGTCAGGACATGTAGTGGAAACAATGGCTGGTTCTTAGCTTGAGATTTCTTTATGAACCATAATAACTTGTAGAACACTTGACCCCAATTCACAATTTCTTTGATGGGTTGAATCACCAACAAGTATGGATCAACTCTGTTTTTCAAAGTCCCTCCAGGAAATAACTGGCCGAGAAGACAGGCAGATGGAAGCAATGCGTTCAGTACCAGTAGAGCAGATCATTCGCCATAGCATCAGTGAATCTGCCAATGACTGCTACGAACCTGCCATTGATCGCCGTGCTTCCATCAAACCCATGTCATCCATGGAAGCGTTGCTGGCGGGAAATTTTCACCAGGTCCCTGTTCTTCTTGGAGTGACTGAGAACGATGGCTTGGGTAAATCTGAATTGGAGCAGACCATCTTTTGCCAGTCCGAAGTTCGTTCTCGTGCAGATTTAGAGGAACTTTTTCGGCGAGACTTTGGTGAAAATGCTGCTACAGTATTGTCGCACTATTGGCCTAAGGATGTTGAATCAGAAGCAAGAGCTGTGCATCAAGCATTGAGCTTATTTAGCAACGACCTTTGGTATTTTGCCGGGACTCATCTTATGGCCAAACTCATGAGTTCCAGCAGTCCGGTCTTTTTGTATTGCTTTGCAGGTGCAAAACGCAGCATGCATGGCAGTGATATGGCATCTTGGAGGGGGGCTTCCAAAAGCAAGCTGTCCCAGATCATGTCCAGATATCTTGGAAACTTTGCTCGATATGGGAATCCAAATGGCAATGATCTGGTCTCAGAAAGTTCAGCTGATCTTCCTCAATGGAAATCCATGTCGGAAGCTCCGGATGAATGGATGTTTCTGAACAGCGAAGCAGCAATGAAAGAGATTGATGCTGCCACCTTGCGTTGGTACAACTTTTTGGCCGCGGAATACTTTTCCAAGAGGATTCTGCAGAAGGTCAATGCAAATGACTGTCACGATGTACATGCCAGCAAACGAATGTGCCGAGAGAAAAGCTGAAACTTTTTGAAAGGAAAGCCAGACTTTAACTGAGCATACTTTAACCTATTTTAACCAATACAATATAACAACCATTATATTTTTACCACCTGTCATTTGTGAGTGTTTGTGACAGGCTTGACATAGCCAGGGGATGTTGCACCTGTCGGCTGAGGTACTGAGATGGTATCTGCAGCAGTTCAGCAGGCGAGCTGTTGAAAACGGGTGATATTGGCAAATCACAGCAGAATATACTGCATGTTTTATATGTTTTCAATCGCCGAATTTGACTTTAACTTTGACTTTAATTTGATCTGTCATGCTGAAATCGGCAGTTCCAGGCCAATTGTTTCGCACCTAATATACATAGTTCGCCACGATGATAAGATGTTTCGAGAATGATGACATTCGTAGTTTCGGCTATTCCTGTGGGCATGGCATATGCCGAACACCTGACCATTACAGGGTCATCCGATGAAGAGTTTTTTTGCTGCTGTACGATTGGGTGAAAAGTCAGCCAAATTAAGATGACATCTGATGACATGGCTTATCCAGGGATTCTCAAGTCAGGGCTGGATCCACTGGGAGGTATGGCGATGTCGAAGATTTGCTCAACGCTGCCAGGCGAGTGCATTTGGATCCGCATAGGCTTGGAAACATGGAACTCTCACACTACGCAACATCGATTTGTCTGAACACGTGGTAATTGTAGATCCATCGGTCAATCACGATGTTCCCTTCAAACATGTCAACTTCTGGGGGAGTACCCTATAGGCCTATAGGCCCTATATGTTCAGTTACAGCATTCACTCTTCTGTTCGTTTCATCCAAAGATTGAGCGGAAGGGCCCAATTTTTCTCTGTCGACCGGAGTTTTCCCTGGAGCTGTTCTGGTGTGACCCAAATAAATGGTCAGCAACTAGGTTGAGTACTTTCTTGAGGATGGGACTTGTCTTGGAAACTTCTGGACTTGTCTTGTTTTGAGAAGCTTTTGGATTCGGATGTCTTGTTCAAGGCTTGACCACTTGTCAGATTTTGTGCAAGGCGAAAGATTTCTTGACACCACCAATTGGTGCTTCATAGTGGAGCACCTCACCCCGGTGCCTCGCCAAGCTGTGTTAAACTGCTGGAATCCTGTGAACCCCTCATCTCATCACATTTTTTGGGCTGCGATTTTTCTTTGTGACCATCTTTGATCCCCTTCAATTCCATCAAGTTGCGACTGCAAGAGCCGACGCTGTCAATGTTTTCAACAATTATGAGTATGGTTTTGAAAGATGCGCGCAGGCACTGGTGCACACACTGTGCAGGCTGAACGCGAGGGGCCTTAATCCTGTGGTCACTCTATTCACAACCTACTCACTAACCATGGTGGAGAAAAGACGAGGAACGCCTTGAGGGATGAATTTGATCGGTTTGGATCAGCATAACAGACGCGGCTGCTGTAGTTGAGACTTGTTTAGGTTTGTATTGTCCTCTAGATTGTATGATGTTATCAATGTTATCATGCCATAGGCGGCCGGGAATCGTGTAACCATTTGTGCCCGCAACTGGATCAGTTTTTACATCTCTGCGACCTCCGGAAATTTCCTACGCCTTGGGTGGAATCGCCATGGCGTTGATGCGGCTGCTGGCGTTGCTGATGTCGAGCTCCTGCCACTGTCTGGAGCTGTGCTGCCGGGCCTTCCAGAACGACACCGAGCTGCGCGAAGCCGTCCGTCGCTGGCGATGGTCGGAAAGCGATACTTGGTAGGGTTGACGCGAGGATCCCATGTTTTTCCCTTTCTTTGCTCAAACAGGTGCCCGAAACATCCACTGTTTACCTGCTCAAGCTGAGGCAAGACCTGATCTGATCTCCATCTACGGCGAGATACCGGATTGGGATGTGGGGATGGTAATGAACATGTCAAGATTGTTTGCTGAAACCTCCTTCAACGAGCCCATAGGATCCTGGAACACATCGGCGGTGACAGACATGCAGGGCATGTTCTACAAAGCCAAGAAATTCAACCAGTCGATCGGCTCCTGGGACACTTCGGCAGTGGCAGACATGGAGGGCATGTTCAGCTCTGCCGAGAACTTCAACCAACCGATCGGGTGCTGGAACACCTCGGCGGTGACAGACATGGAGGGCATGTTCAGCTCTGCTGAGAACTTCAACCAACCGATCGGGTCCTGGAACACCTCGGCGGTGACAGACATGCAGGGCATGTTCTACAAAGCCAAGAAATTCAACCAGTCGATCGGCTCCTGGGACACTTCGGCAGTGGCAGACATGGAGGGCATGTTCAGCTCTGCCGAGAACTTCAACCAACCGATCGGGTGCTGGAACACCTCGGCGGTGACAGACATGGAGGGCATGTTCAGCTCTGCTGAGAACTTCAACCAACCGATCGGGTCCTGGAACACCTCGGCGGTGACAGACATGCAGGGCACCCTCGGGGGGGGGGCGCGGGGGACCGCGCGGGAATTGACCTGGTTACAAATTCCCCCCCACAACAGGCCACTTACCCCGCTCCACTGCCTAACACGCAGTGGTGAGCGTCAGAGATGACCGGGGCAGCGCCGGTAAAACGGAAGGTGGCTACGTTAATGCACCGCCCAGTGTCACGCTAACACCGTGGCCACCATTCTGTGGTGCCGGGACCCTGGACTGGGCACAGCCAGCCACCAGACTGGCAAACCGCCGGCTACCACACCGGAACACTGGCACAGACCAGCTCCAATTGGCGCAAGCCATACATCACTTTGCAAAATACAACGTACCGATGTGGGCTCTGCCCCATCACACCCAGTTCACTGGGACCAGCACTCTCGTAGCAGCAGCAGCTGCTAAACACAGCATTGACACTGCGGCTGCAGCCGCAACACACGACGGGCGCCCGCCCGTGACCTTACCGGTCTTCATCACAAGAAACACAGCCAGCCGGCTTTTTCCACGCTTTGCGTGGGGTGCCCCTTAATCCAATGCCTTCTTGGCTCGCCAGGTTGGGTGCACTTTCAAAACTACAACCAGACATGCAGGGCATGTTCTACAAAGCCAAGAAATTCAACCAGTCGATCGGGTCCTGGGACACTTCGGCAGTAAAAAACATGCAGTACATGTTTCAGGATGCCTACGATTTCAACCAGCCGATCGGGTCCTGGGACACTTCGGCAGTGACAGACATGCAGCACATGTTTCAGGATGCCTGGGATTTCAACCAGTCGATCGGGTCCTGGGACACTTCGGCAGTAAAACACATGCAGTACCCCCTCGGGGGGGGGGGCGCGGGTGACCGCGCGGGAATTGACCTGGTTACAAATTCCCCCCACAACAGGCCACTTACCCCGCTCCACTGCCTAACACGCAGTGGTGAGCGTCAGAGATGACCGGGGCAGCGCCGGTAAAACGGAAGGTGGCTACGTTAATGCACCGCCCAGTGTCACGCTAACACCGTGGCCACCATTCTGTGGTGCCGGGACCCTGGACTGGGCACAGCCAGCCACCAGACTGGCAAACCGCCGGCTACCACACCGGAACACTGGCACAGACCAGCTCCAATTGGCGCAAGCCATACATCACTTTGCAAAATACAACGTACCGATGTGGGCTCTGCCCCATCACACCCAGTTCACTGGGACCAGCACTCTCGTAGCAGCAGCAGCTGCTAAACACAGCATTGACACTGCGGCTGCAGCCGCAACACACGACGGGCACCCGCCCGTGACCTTACCGGTCTTCATCACAAGAAACACAGCCAGCCGGCTTTTTCCACGCTTTGCGTGGGGTGCCCCTTAATCCAATGCCTTCTTGGCTCGCCAGGTTGGGTGCACTTTCAAAACTACAACACATGCAGTACATGTTCTTCGGTGCCGAGAACTTCAACCAGCCGATCGGGTCCTGGGACATTTCGGCAGTGACAGTCATGAATGGCATGTTCAGCTCTGCTGAGAACTTCAACCAACCGATCGGGTCCTGGAACACCTCGGCGGTGACAGAGATGCAGTCCATGTTCATGTCTGCCGAAAAGTTCAACCAGCCGATCGGCTCCTGGAACGCCTCTGCAGTGGATGATATGCGGTACATGTTCTACTGGGCCTGGGACTTTGACACTCCAGTCGGGTTATGGGACATTTCTTCCTTGATAAGCATCCTGTCGGAGAAATGGTGAAGCTGAGAAGATGCAATGTTTTGGGCCATGTTGGGCCTGATCGTAGGTAATGTGGAATTGTTTTAACTTGAAGACGTTGTGCAGGAAATAGTTGACTCTGCCCTGCAGCCGAGGCCGTGACAACATGTTCAATGCACATTTGACGCCGCCGTGCGAAGCAGGACGCGGCCCAGGCAGAAACAATCTGATGTGCGAACGTTGCGGAGTGGGGCAATATGCGCCAGCTCAAAGCTTCTGCCAGGAATGCCCTGAAGGTGGGAAAAACTATTCAAACATGTGCAAATTGAGAAGGCGATGTCAAGGTTATACTGTTGGGCAGGTTGAAACACAGCCATGCTTTACACATCTATATATTGTGCTGCAGGTTCAACTCCTTCCGCAGACCGAACCACGTGTGAAGATTGTCTGATGATGCACTACTCTGTAAATGGCGTGGACGAGTGCTTGCCCTGCAATTTGCCGTTGGCTGTGGTGGACAACCGCTGCGTGTCTGGGCAGTCAATAAGAGCAATGCATGCCTTCCTTTCAAAATGTCTAGTTTTGCGATATTGCAACATCTGATGATTTGTTTGCCCAAGGATTCGTTGTCAGGAAATGGTTTTAACATGTTTTAACATGTTTTAACTACACTTGTTTCACATCTGCCCTTCTAGCAGCTAAGCCATCCCTAGCCTTGGCTTCGTTTTCCATCTTGAATTATTTTGGGACCGAAGATGAGGTTTGGTGGCACTTGCCGCTCTTGGCGCTTGGCTTAGGAGCCTTGGGAGTTTGTGGTGGCTTGGTCTTGTCCTGGAAGCGTTCACGGAAAGCTAAGAAGATCGAACGAATCCTGGAGGAAGTCTACATGGAACTCTGGGATGCTTGGCCGATCTTGGCCGCGATGGGACTGTCATCAATTCCGAGGATATCTAGTTTTCTGATGTTTTCTGGGGACTTGCGGCTGATTAAATACGGCTGCGTAGCTCTCTCTCTCTCTCTCTATGCTCAAGATTAAAAAGATGAAATTGAGGCATATTGAGGCTGAACAGTCTCACACAGAGTATAGCAAGTCCTGAGCATCACATGCCGCACGAATCTCAGGATGAACAACCAAACACGCTCGACGCATACTCGAAGAAGCTGTATGGTCTGGGTCTTCAGAAAGCCAATTTCGATCAACATATTTCAGGTATGCGTGCCTTACAGAGTCAAAGAGCCGGGGTTTCTGGGTGGCACACAGCGCAAGTTGAAACAAAAGGCATTTGAAAGTGTTTCTTGTTTTTTGTTCGAGAAAACAGATGGTGCTCACATTTCCGCCATGCTCACGGTACAGAGTCAAAGAACCGGGGTTTCACAGCGCTATTTGAAACAAAGAAGTTTTGGAGCGTTGGTACATTTTGTTGAGAAAACATGGTGATCGCATTCCATGAAGAAATGTGGAGACTTCAGAAGTTATGTTCCACTGCTTCATTTGTAGTCTAAGCGATCTCACGCCCAGGTGAGCATCGGATATTTGCTTTCTGCTGACTTTGCTCAACTTGCCATACAGCGCACTGGCAAGGATGATCCGACCTTCACCGATACCCGTTTCAGAACCAACCTTTTGACTTTTTGACCCCTTTTGCCAATCAAGGGAAGCCTTCAAAAACTAAAAGAACACTTTGCTTCCCGTTGAGAATGCTTGATTGAGGCAGGTATGGAACTGACCCTTCTAAGCGCAAAATTGTCTGCGAATCTTTGGATATTGCTCATCAAGAATTCACAAGAACCCAATTCCAGACCTTTGGAATCCTCGCATCCAATAATTCGAGATGTTTCGAGAGTTCGAAATGTCTGCACCCAGGACATGAAAACCAGTTTTTGGCTCTCAGAGGATCCCATCGGAGAAGACATCATGTGCCCTCGGGACGGTAGACCTGGGTGTGCGTTGGTCGATTGGATACCACGGCGCGAGCGCCGAGAACAAACTCATTTTCTGAGTTGGACTTGGAAGTACAGCCTCCAACAGGTGCAAGCGGGGAAATCTTGGGAGTGTTCGCCACATTCATCACCAAACGTAATGTAGTACTTTGGTTTCTCAGGTTTTCCCATGTGTTCCCAGGACTTCCCATGTTTTCTCATTTTTGAACTTTTTAAAACTTAAAATTTCTCAAAAATTCATTGCCAAAAAGATACCCTATCCAGAACCCACCTAGGTCAAGGTAGTACATTACATTTGGTGAATTCATGTCTAGCCGAATCAGAAACATATAGCATGTTGTGAAGCATGTGTGTGTGTGTGCTTGGTGCCTAGGCCCTCCCAAGTACCCCCAAAATGATGCTTACCTCATGTGTTGAGCACTTTTACTTTTAAAACCTTTTTGGTGGTATTTGGAGGGTCTAGGCTGGTTGATTTGTAATTCATCATTCTTGCTCAGTCCTAGAATCTTGAGTTATCGACTTCCATCAGACACTTCAAACCATGGTAAGAGCGGCAATAGGTGCAGGTTTGGCCTTTCATGTTTCGCTTGCTGGATGTGCTTGCAAGAATTGTTTAAATCTTCGTCAGACAGCAGCCCTACTTCTGCCAACAGTCAAAGCATTTGATGGACTAAGTCCCAGCATGTGTTCACCGCGGCATCACAAGAGTCGCCACGAAAGGACGGACCACTGTATGGGGTTGCATGGTCAGTAAGGCCACAGAAATTGTGGCTCATGTAGAGGGCATTGTGGCACAAGGCCCCATCCCGCACAGGTACATGCATTCAAAACGCAACAACCTTTCAGTGTTTGTTCCAAAGAAACTTGCTTCTGTCATTACGGCAAAAAAA